ATATGTTATCAGGAAGGACCAGTCCCTGGAGAAGGACATAATGCTTGGTAAAGTAGAGGGTCAGTGAAAGAGGAAGACTCTCAATGAGATGGATTGACACAGTGGCTGCAACAATGGGCTCAAACATAGCAATGATTGTGAGGATGGTGCAGGACCAGGCAGTGTTTTGTTCTGTTGTACACAGGGTCACTAAGAGTTGGAACCGACTGAACGGCACCTAACAACAACAAGTTTAAATGTAAGCTATTAATTTTAAAAATATTTAAACCATGAGAAGGCCAAGTACAACCTAGGGCAGGCTGAATGTGGTATTCTGGCTACTAGGTTGTAACCTTTGGAACAGATGAGTTTCTTCAGCAGGTTCCCATACTAGGTTCCACACTCAGGAACCTACAGTATCCCAGGAATTCAGGGAGTCTACAAAACAGATCTGACTCAAATCTCTTTCTCTTCCTCTCTCCCTCACACACAAACACTAGCTTTAAAAAGAACCGCAATAAAAAGTTCAGGTGGACAGCTATCTAAAGTACAATAAATGGAATCTATTCATCTGGAGCAACAGAGAAAGAAACAGTGAGGAATAAGAGGACGAACTGGATGGACTGCAAGTCTAATTGCCTCCAGGAATAACTGCCTCCTTTGCCATGAGACCAGAAGAACTGGATAATGCCTGGCTACCATTACTGAAGGTTCTGATCAAAGATTCTATATAATAATCCTGACCAAAAGGAGGAAATGAGGAAGGGAATTTAAAATTCTCACGTAGTCCAGACTTTCTGGAGCCACTGAGGTTGGGTGAACTCCCGAAACTACTGCTCTGAGATAATCTTCAAACCTTACACCAAAAAAGATCCCCTTAAGTCTTCTTAAACCCAAAGAATAGTTTAATTTAACTAGTAAACAATGTCTGCCTTGACTTCTTTTAAAGAACTAGCTATATGGAATCAAACTGACAATAGCAACTCAAAAGATTAGATAGAAATCTTAGGGGGCAGCGAGTTTATATTAATGGGGGAGAGGAACAATTCAGAAAAGGAGGGTGAGAATGGTTGCACAACTTGAAGAATATAATCAATGTCACTGAATTGTACAGGTAGAAACTGTTGAATTGGTATATGTTCTGCTGTGTATATTTTCAACAACAATAACAAAATAATTTTTTAAAACTATGCAATTTCTAAAAGATAATTACTAACTCTAAATAAGTAAACTATACCAAAAAAATGCAAGTAGAAATACTCTTACATGGAATTTTATCACAGTGGAGACCGTCAGTGTGTTACCTCGTGCTGCCAGGCGAAATCATTTTCGTGCAAACTTTATTCTCAAACTTTGCCTGCCATCTGTCTCATAAGACATCATCTGGAAATTTCCAGGCAAACTTATTATAAAAACAGTTATCATTTGCCATTACTTATCTTGGGTAAATCAAGCTTTTCTCCATCCTAGACAATCACATACAGCCTTGATAGCGTAGTGGTTAAGAGCTTGGATGTTAACCAAAAGGTCAGCAGTTTGAATGCACCAGCCACTCCTTGGAAACCCCGTGGCCTGTGGGCTGCAGTTCTACTCTGTCCTATAGGGTCGCTATGAGTCAGAATCGACTCAACAGCAACCAGTTTGTTTGTTTTTTTTTTTTTTTTTTGTTTGGTGAATCACATAAGGCAGCAATTACCATTATTCTGTATTTCACAGGTACACTGTCATCAAAATATTTTCATTGTTTTCAACAACTGACTATAAATAAAGGCTACAGATTTTAATTTAGAAACGCTTTCATCAGTTTTCATGCAGCAGAGTTTTTAAAAGATTTTATAAGGAAGAAAGGGAATTACAGGGCTTAAAAGTTTCACAACCGCAGATGTGATTCAATAACTTCAATTTACAGATGAGGTTTAGTGAGAAAAATGACTGTCCCCAAAATCACTCAGTTAGAGGCACCTCTAGGTAGACTCGAACTTCCACCCTTTCAGTTAGTAGCTGAGCATGTAACCATTTGTACCGCCCAGGGACTCCCTGGGCTAGAATGTAGGTCTCCCAACTCTCAAGCCTACGAGCGTTCTACTCTATTTGGCAACCCAAGAACCAAGTATTGCATATATGAAAAAGTGAACAAACTTTAACTGAAATTTTTACTTTAAAAAATGTATACTTTTCTCCGACACAGGCGGATGAGCAATGCTTCTCCCATTTCTCACCCTCAGATACATCCCAAATCCCATGACTCATTAAAAGACAAAAAACAAACCCACTGCCATCAAATTGGTTCCAACTCATAGCGAGCCAATGTGTGACAGAGTAGAACTGCTCCATAGAGTTTTCTTGGCTTTAATCTTAACAGAAGCAGATCACCAGGGCTTTCTTCTGTGGCACTGCTGGGTAGGTCTGAACCACCAACCTTTAGGTTAGCAGTTGAGGACAAACTGTGCCAGCCAGGGACCCCACTGTCTGTAAAACCAAACCAAACCCACTGCTGTCAAGTCGATTCTGACTCACAGCAATCCCACAGGGTTTCCAAGGCTATAAATCTCTACCGAAGCAGACTGCCACATCTTTATCCCTCGGAACAGCTTATGGTTTTGAACTGCCAACCTTCCGGTTAGCAGTTAATTGCTTTAACCACTGCACCACCAGGTCTCCTTCCATTGCCTATGGTGACCTATAAACTGGCCTCACCCAGTAGCCAGCCTGCAGTCCTGCATGCATGCAGAAGACAATTAATAACTGTCTTCTTCCAAGCTCATCACTTAACAATATCTACATTCCCAGGCCACAACCCCCACGTCGGTCAGTCCTCCCCAGCACTCGGCAGGGTAGGAATCGTCACCACCACGGCACAGATGAGAAGACTGAGGCTAGGAGCAGTCAGTCAGTGGCTTGTCCAAGAGTACACAGCTAAGTAGAGAAACTGAGTACGTCTGGCCCCAAGATCTCTGTCCCCATGTACTCCCTGCTCCATCACGCTCTCCTTTGCAGCCTCCTCTGCAACAGTCACAACAGTATCTCTTATATGTTGCTGCGTGCCCTCGCCAGGCACCGTGCTCCGTGCATCACTGGAATAGCCTCACTTTGTAAACGTTATGCTTTACTGGACTTTTTATTGCAAAAGCAATGCGCTACTTGGAGCAAGTCAAATAAAACTGAGGTGTGCAAAGGAAAAGTTCATTTTCTCTCCTCCCCATCTTCCCAACCCCCTCCAGTGCACACACACACACACACACAAAAAAAAAAAAACAACATTAAATGGGAGGGCTGTATTCTTCCACACGTCTCCTTGCTCATAAAAATACACACACCGTAGAGAGAATGATTTTATTCTGTTTCCAATAATTTCAGACCTAACTCCTCACGTGACTCTGCCACTTGCTTTCCTTACAAACGTCCATCAACATCCCCCCAGATTAATAGAAATAGAGCTGCTTATCATTCTTAATCAGCTGCATAATGTTACATAGTATGAATGTGCCATAATTTACCAAGCCATTCCTCTACTGAGTGGTAGGTATTTTGCCAGCATAAGTAATGCCATAAAAAACAATATGGTAATATGGTCTTAGGTCCCAGGGCTTTTATTTCTGTAAAGCAGAGCCCCAAAAGTGTTACTTCCAGGTCAAAGTGTATTTGCAGTTTAATATAATTTTAAAATAGCATATTATCTTAATCAGAAATTATGTTCTCATTATAAAAAATATAAATAAAAGTATAAAAAGAAGGAACACGTGAAGGCAGAGAGGGTCAGGAGCTGGCCAAATGGACACGGGAAACCCAGGGTGAAAGGGAGGAGTGTGCTGTCACAGTATAGGGACAGCAACTACGGTTACATACCAATGCATGTATAAATTTTTATATGAGAGACTAACTTGAATTGTAAGCTTTCACTTAAAGCACAACAATAAAAAAAAAAAAGAAGAAGAAGAAACACACATATATGCCCTCAACAAAGACTGCTGTTGTGGTTATTGTGTGCTATCGAGTTCATTCTGAATCACAGCGACCCAACAGGACACAGAAGAAATGGCCCATAGGGTTTCCTATGCTGTAATCTTTATGGGAGCAGATCGCAGGTCTTTTCTCCCACAAAGCCACTGGTGGGTTCGAACCACTGACCTTTCAGTGAGCAGTCAAGCACTTAACCATTGCACCACCCTGGCTCCTCACAGAGATGCTGTTGTTGTTAGTTGCTGTCAAATCAATTCTGACTCATGGCAACCCCATGTGTTACAGAGTACAACTGTTCCACAAGGTTTTCTTGGCTGTAATCTTAACAGAAATAGATTGCCAGGCCTTTCTTCCACCCTCTCCGAGATAGATACTACTAAATATTTTGCTATATTTCCTTCCAGAATGAGACCATAAGGTAAAGTTAGTTGCACTTTTCTATTTTAATCTCGTTGTTAGCTGTCATTGAGTTTGCCCCGCGACTCATGCCAATCTCATGCACAATGGAACAACATGCTGCCCAGTCCTGCACCATCTCCATGATGAGTGGTGGAACAAGCCATTGTGATCCATAGGGTTTCACTTGCTGATTTTCAGAAGTGGATCATTGGGTCTTTCTTCTTTGTCTTAGTCTGGAAGCTCTGCTGAAAGCTGTTCAGCATCATAGCAACACACAAGCCTCCACTGATACACAGGTGGTGGCTACATCGTGAGGTGCAATGGCCGGGAATTGAACCGGGTCTCTCATGTGCAAGGCGAGAATTCTACCACTGAACCACTAATGCCTCAGTTCTTTTTTAACAGACTCAGATTAAATTCAAAACGAACTTATGGCCATTCACATTCCCACCAGAAAGGCACGCAAGTGCCATTTCCCCACATTTTCACCACTACCTTATCACGTTTAAAAGTTACTGCCTACTAATAAGTCACAGTCAATCTCCATTTTATATTTCCTTGACTGGAAAGAGATAAGAACATTTCTTGTGGCTTTCTTGGGAACGTGCCAGACTTTGAAATGGGGGAAACATCATTAGATCATTTGCTGAAAATTGTCTTACCGATTTTTGCTGTTCAAACATAAGTTTTTTATAGAAGAGATGGAACTGTTCAAAGCTGAGTTCATCTCTGTGCGCGCCTATTTCCTGTAAAAATAAAAAAAAGTGACCACATGATTTTTGATGTCCACCACAAGAATGTCTCCTCCCTATTCACAGAAATAGAATGACTTTTCTACAACACTGGCTAAAATCAAACTTGTATTCCTCTGAACCAAAACTATCCAAAAGCTTCCTACTTTACCTTCGTGGGAGATAATGCTCACCAGGGACTCCATCAGGTAAGACCCTTATCTTTTAGCCCCAAAAGGGTAGATCCTCAGCCACACTTCCAAGAGCCACAATGCACAACTCTTCCTTTTTTGGGCAAAAGACATTTCCTTTAGGACTTCCAAATCCAGATATGGGTCATTTTTAAAACCATAAATAAATTAACCAAGACTTTGGAGTCAGAGTTCATCTCTCTGCCTGCCTATTTCCTGTAAAAACGTGCCTATTTCCTGTAAAAATAAACTGAACTGCTGCATGACTTTGGGCAATTTGGGCAACTTGACCTTTTCAGACCCTCAACTTCTTCATCTGTAAAATGGGAGAACCATCACTACCTTCTGTGGGCTTCTCTGAAACCAAACAGGAGAATGCCTACAAAATGTCTGGCTCAGTAAATGTTTGATGAAGAACGAGATTCTGATTATGTTGTGATCAATGGTAAAATGCTTCTCCCATCTCTCTTCTCTTCTTAAATCCCCAGCCTTCTCTTCCGCTTTTCCATTCTTGGGATGAGAACAGAATGCCAGGGGGGCAGGTCAAACGATGGCTTGAAAAACAAGCAATAAAATGGGTTAACTCTCCCAGAACTCGTTAGTGCAAAATCAAATGAGTTTTTTCAGCTGAGGAATCCTGTGAATGGGGCTGCCGTTGACATGGCCAAATGTGAGACCTTCAACCAGGGCTCTGGGGCTGGGGTGCTGTTCATTTTCTCAGCAAGAGTTGGTATCTCTCTGAGGATGAAAAACGGTGACCATACATGGCCTCCATCCTTGCACCATTTGGAGAAGCCCCACCTAATCTGCTGTATCCCACCCCACACAGTGACTTTACCTGCCACAGCTCCACCAGCTGGTCACACAAGAACATTAACGATGGATGGATGGACGGACAGACAGACGGATGGACGGACAGACGGATGGGTGAGTGGATGGGTGGATGAATGGAGAGAGATGAGGGAAGAGAGAAGCAGGCAAGGGAGAAAACAACTCGGACAACTATGCTACCAGGACTTGCATATGAAATGCCACAATCCTGGCAATCCACATAAGGACTCTTTCATAATATTTTCTAAAAGAAACACATTTGCTCATGTTAGTAGGAGGAAAAAAAGGCTACAGGATGGTAAGCGAAATAGAGAAGGAGGACTTGTGGTAACAGATCTGAGTTTAGATGTTCCAAAGCACACAGCACAGTACACATGGTCTTCTGTGAGGTCATCTTCTACTGGGATCAACAGCATGGTCGTAAGATATTTACATGGCCCCTCAGTCAACTATAACAGACGCCATCTGGAGATGAAGGACCTCACTGGGCACCACTTGACAGAACTCAAGGGTACGTAGCTTCATGTGAGAGGCACTAAGTAGCCCTGAGTTCATAAAAGCCCTGGAGGCTGAGCTACAAAACTTACCACAAACTTATCTTTGAGGAACTTGGCACTGCTCACTTTAAAGTTGACCAGGGGCAAGATGGTCTTCAATTCTCGGAGGCTGATGCTGCAAAAGAGGGAAACCCCAGTTCGGTCAACCTCCAGGGTTTTCAACAGCAGAAGGCTTAGCTACTCCTATTACCTCCCACCTCGGTTCCCCACCATCCTCCTCAGAAACTCCAGCCAACAGTTGTTTACTGAGCACCAACTGGGAACAGGAGACTCTGCATTCTAGGTGGGGGTGATGCCCATAAGCAAGTGCTGGTTTCCACCCTTCGGGGATGACCATGGAGATAGGTCACACAGAAGATTCACAGTGTGGGCAGAACTTAGTGTCAGATGACCAGATAATCCTCACCTATACAAAACGCCACAGGAGTTCAAAGCAGGGCAAGGAGAAGGCAAGGGAAGCCAACCTTATCTGAGCGCCTACTGTATGCCAGGCTGCCCCGGATGTCATCCAGGCAATAATATCACCTGATCCCATGCCATATCCTACCCCCTATAACGTACGCACATCGACCCCCAGGTTTCAGAACAGGCAGGAAGGGCTGCCGAGAGACGCTGCTCAAGGTGACAGTTGGGCTGCGGCAGAGCCTGGATCTGAATCAAATTCTAAACGTACAGTCAACTGACCACATCACAGAACTCTTGAGTGTGCTTCCCCTGAGCCAGACACCGAATGACGGTAAGATTCCATTCCAGTGGAAAGAAAATGAGAGTGCATTCTAGGCCAAAGATAATAACAGCAACAACAACGCTAACAGCTGAAACTCAAATAGTCCTTCTTCGATGCCAGGCATTGCTCTAGATGCGTTATATACATTAACTCATTTAATCCTCATGTGGTGGGCACCATTATCATCTCCATGTTATAGTGAGGAAACTGAGGCTCAGAAAGGTTCAGCGCCTTTCTGGGTGAGTGAGTGGAGGAGGTGGATTCCAACCCCATCTGTCTCAAGAGCCTGGGGGGCTTGTCCTGGGACCAAGCAAGAGATCAGAGTTCCCTAGACAGCAGAGAACATCCAAGCGGAAACAAGGTAAAGAAGTCCTCCCCCGTCCAGAAAGAGGTTGCATGGGTGGGGAGCCACGCAGGTGCCCAGGGGCCCATGGGGCCAACCCATGACCCAGGGGATGAGAACCTGAGCACAAGGGATGTCTGAGCCCACCTGGCCCATAGGCCTCACTTTACAGTGGACTTGTCATCAGATAAGGAGAGCCTCCTCACCCAAGGTCACATCCCCTTCCAAGGACATCCTATACCCTGTGACTGCCCATGCAGAGGTACAAAGGCCCAGCCCCCTGGCCTCAACTCAGGACAGCTTTGCAGGGCTGCCCCAGCTCCAGCTCCCATAGGCCTTGGTTGTGACTACATCCCAGCCTGACTTCTCCCTCTGCCCGCCACTGCTTTCCTCACTCCCCTGCTGGGTTGATCCCCTCTGCATTTCCCAATAAACATCCTACACACGAGTCTACATTTCAGATTCTGTTTCCTGGGGACTCAACCTGCGATTGTGACTTAGAAAGCACGGCAATCCCTCTAGGGGAGGGATAGCAAAAACTATTCCCCCTCCACGTGCCACCAGTGGCCCTTCCCTCTTCCATGGCAGACATCACTAAACAATTCTGGTGCTGTTTCCATCTCCGTCTGGCCATGGTCCCAGAATCCTTCATCACTATACCCCAAGCAGACATTACCAAACAATCAAAGCTGGCATGCCCCATGGAACTTAACTGCCACCCTGATGGTGGAAGAATGCCTCTACCACTCCTGACTTTTCATAACAATAATGATAATAATAATAATAACAATCTGTTGAGTGTTTACTATACACCTGTCCAAGCACTTTTCACAGATTAACTCACTGACTCCTCACACCAACCCTACGAGGTAGAGACTACTATATCTCTCTTTTACAGATGAGGAAACAAAGGCACAGAGAGATTAAATAACTTACCCCAAACGCATACAATCAGTAACTGAGTGTTAGCGCTGAGATCCAAATCTTAGCACTGCGCAAAAGAATTTTCTATGATGATCGTAATTCTCTCCATCTGTACTGTCCAATATGGCAGCCACTAGCCTTGTGTGACTATTGAGCACTTGAAATGTGATCGATGTGGATGAGAAACTGAATTTTTTCATCGTATTTAGTTAATTTAGATTTAAATAGCCACCTGTAGCTGGTGGCTGCCATACTGGACAGTGCAAATCTAGAACTCTGTTTCTCAAACTGTGGTCCCTGGACCAGTATCACCTGGAAATTTGTTAGAAATGCAAATTCTCGACTCCCATCCCAGACCTTCTCTTGGATCTGAAACCAGGGCTTCAAAGCAGTTCCTTCCAGTTCAAACTCCTGCTGAGAATTTGCATTTCTAACAAGTTCCCAGAAAATGTTCATGCTGCTGGCGAGGGACCAATTCTGAGAATCTCTAGTAGAACAGTGATTTTCAAAATTTGTCATACATAAGAATCACCAGGGGATTTTGTTAAAATGTAGATTCTGATTCAGTATGTCTGGGGTGGAAATGCAAATTCTCAGCAGGGATTCGAACAGGAACAAACTGGTTAGAAGCCCTGCCTGAAACTCTGGGGGTGAGGACCTGCATCCCACGTTTTAACAAGCCCTCGAGGGCACTGTAATGTTCCCTCAAATTTGAGAACTGCTCTCTAGAAAGTACTAGTTTACAGCCCTGGTTTCATAGTAGAATCGCCTGGAGCTCTTTTTTAAAAAAAAAAAAAAAAAATCCACCACTGGTCTTACCCCTTCAGGAGCAAGGGAGAATGAAAACAAGATACAAGGAAAAGATCAGTCCAAAGGACTAATGGCCCACAACTACCACAGCCTCCACCAGACTGAGTCCAGTACAACTAGATGGTGCCCAGCTACCACCGACTGCTCTGACAGGGATCACAATAGAGGGTCCCGGACAGAGCTAGAGAAAAATGTAGAACAAAATTCTAACTCACAAAAAAGACCAGAATTACTGGCCTAACAAAGACTGGAGAAACCCCAAGGGTATGGCGCCTGGACACCCTTGTAGCTCAGTAATGAAGTCACTCTTGAGGTTCACACTTCAGCCAAAGATTAGACAGGCCCATAAAACAAAACGAGACTAAAGGGGCACAACAGCCCAGGGACAAGGACTAGAAGGCAGGAGGGGACAGGAAAGCTGGTAAGAGGGAACCCAAGGTCAAGAAGCGGAGAGTATTGACACGTTGTGGGGTTGGCAAACGATGTCACAAAACAATATGCATATTAATTGTTTAATGAGAAACTAATTTGCTCTGTAAATCTTCACCTAAAGCACAATAAAAAAAAAAAAACCAACACCCAGATCCATGCCCAGAACTATGGAATCAGCATCTCAGCAGGTGCGGCTCCAATAGCTGTGCTGCTCAAGCTCCCCAGCTGATTCCAACGTGGTATGAACCACTTCCCTGGAGCCTAAGTGTGAAACCTATTTGCATTCTTGCACAAGAAGAAAACTGAGCCACACACCTGCCTCCCATCTGCAAGCCCTTTCCATATTCTGCAATGGCTCCTTCCCTCTTCTCTGCCAAGGCTGAAGGAGAAAGGGCACATTTGGCTTGTGCAATTCAATTTTACAGGCTGAGGGGGCAAAAGCAAAAGAAGGAAAGAGATTTCCACTGGAGACATTATGTGCCACCCGCCCACAAGGCCTGCTGTCCCATCTGAGGGACTCGGCCCCTGTAGACCTCACATGAGGAAGCACAATTCCTATGAACCTCAAAGGAGGTTCTGGGGCTTTCCCAGGAGTTGGCTGACGACACGAAATGCACTGGGCTTAGAGCTTAATCCTCAGGTAAGAGAAAATAACTCTAAAAGGCCCAAAAGGGGACCCTGGAAATCTGGCCAAGAAGCCCATTAAAATACTCATGCCCTTTGACCCAGGCCCCCCAGTCCTGGGAATATGTCATAAGGAAAGCTTTCAAAGCAAGAAAATGCCACTTGCCCAATGTTTTGCCTAAGAATGAAAAGATTTTCGTTCATTCAACAAACATGAACAAGCATAGCACAACCAAAGAAGGTGGATTCCTGTCCTTAACAAGCCCACCACCAACAAAAGCAACAACAAGGGAAAGGCTTAAAGGAATTCCCCTCGATCTGTGAAATCTACAGTACAAGTTATCTGCTTCCAAAGTACAATGGTGGAACAGGCACAAGGTAGACATTTCCATTACAAATGGGAGAAATTGGAGGGAAACATGGGATAACAGTACTATGCAAGTTGGCAGAACGTATTATATTAGCTCTCAAGCCCATCAGCTCAAAGGGATACTGCAGAGTCACTGGCAGGAGAGTCAAGAAATCTGGTAGTGATGCTGAAAAGGCTTCTTATGAGGGTACAGGCCATGTGTTCACCTGGGACACAATTCAGCGAAAATAAGAACATAAGGAAAAACTGGAAACAAACTAAATGACAGGCAAAAGGCAACTTTTTGAGCCAATTACCAAACTTCCATTGACTGAATTATAATATATGTACTAACATAACTGTCCAAAGAGTTGCAATGAGATGTAGAAGTTATGTTTATTGTGCCTGGATATCATTACCGAAGGCTTTGACCAAAGACACAATTGATGGATCCTGATCAAAAGGAGGAAAAATTGTGGAAGAGTTTCAAATTCTTATGGAATCCAGACTTACTGGATTCACTGAGACTAGGGGAACCCCCGAATCTATTGCCCTGAGATAATAATCATAAGACCTTGAACCTAAACGATTCCCTGAAGTCATCCTTGAACTAAACAACAGTTTAGCTCTATTAGTAAAGAATGTTTGGCTTAAACATTGCATTCTTTTAAAGAACTATCTATATGAGATCAAACTGACAATAATAACTCTACGGCAAACATGAAAAGTTTAGAGGGCAGTGAGTCTAAGTGAATAGTGGTGAAACAACACAGAGGTGGCGAGAACGGTGACACAGTATGAAGAATGTAACCAGTATCACTGGACTGTGCGTGTAGAAATTGTGGAATTGGTGTATGTTTAGTTGTGTATATTTTCACCAAAAATAAAATTTAAAGAATAAGTTCTTACATTTTAATGTTATGTGAAAAGAACCTAATCTTCCCTCCTCTTTAGTGTAGGCTGGACTTGGTGATTTGCTGCCAGGGAATAGAGTATGGGAAGTAGGCATAACTTCACAGCTTGGAAACCTGGCAGACATCACTTCGGCCAGGTGGTTAAAGTCAATATCACCATTTATAAGTCATGCTGAGAGAATGTACTGCTTGATATGATGTAATGAAAAGACCAATTTGCCTCTGTAGTGTTCTTCCCAAACTCCTATAACCCAGTCTACCCATTTTCCAGTTGTTGTTGAGTAATTCCAACGCATGATGATCCCATGTGTGTCAGAGTAGAACTGTGCTCCATAGGGTTTCAATGGCTGATTTTTAGAAGTAGATCACCAGTCCTTTCTTCTGAGGTACCTCTGGGTGGACTTGAACCTATAGTCTTTCGGTTAGCAGCCGAGCACATTAACCATTTGCACCACCCAGGAACTCCAGTCTAATCACAACCCCAATCTAATCATCTCTGAAAAAAATATCAGACAAACACAAATTGAGGGACACTCTACAAAATACCTGAGAAATACTCCTCAAAACTGTCAAGGCTATGAAAAACAAAAAAAGACTGACAAATTGCCACAGCCCAAAGGAGACCAGGAAGACATGACAACTAAGTGCAGTGTGGTCTCCTGGGTGGGATCTTGGAACAGTAAAAGGACACTGGTGGAAAAACTAGTGACATCCAAATAAGGTCTGGAGTTTAGTTAACATTAATGTATCCATGTTGGCTTCTAAGTTTTGGCAAAGGTACCACAGCAACGAAAGATGTTAACATTAGGGGAAATTGGGTCAAGGGGTATATGGGAACTCTCATACGGTCTTCACAACTTTTCTGTAAATCTAAAATTATTCCAAAATAAAAAAAATATTGAAAGGAGATGAGGCTATAAGGTCATATATATATCTTAATAAAGTAAACAAACAAATAAAACCTGAGGCTGAGAATCTACCTAAAAAACAGTGCTGGCCATTTGAATGTACACAGATGGTCCATTTGAATGTACACAGATGGTCCACTTGAATGTACACAGATGGTCCACCTGAATGTACACAGATGGTCCACTTGAATGTACACAGATGGTCCATTTCAATGTACACAGATGGTCCATTTGAATGTACACAGATGGTCCTTTTCTTTCTCCCACTTTTCAGTATTTCCAAATTTTTCTACAGTGAGCATGAGCTACTTTCATAATTAAAAATAAAGTCCATGTACATTTTTTAAGGTAACAATAAAAGGAGGTATAAAAATGAAAAACAAAAGGTTGTACAGTGCTTAGGAGGTTTGTGGAGTAAGAATTAAAATTACAAGGTGATTGGTCAAGGTGGGGAAAGGAAGATTGCTTATTTTCCCACCTTTCTGTAGCACAATTTAAAAACAAAGCAGCCAGCCCAGGAGCAAGGATGAGAAGGCAGGAAGGGACAGGAAAGCTGGTAATGGGGAACCCAAGGCCGAGAAGGGGAGAGTGTTGACATGTTGTGGAGTTGGCAACCAATGTCACAAAACAATACGTGTACTAATTGTTTAATGAGAAACTAGTTTGCTCTGTAAAGAACACTAAAAAAAATAAATAAAAATAACTTCATGAAGTGTAAAAAAATAAAATCAAAGCAAAATAATTTTTTTTTTTTAATTTTAAAAAAGGAAAAGCAACATAAAGTGATAGGTGCACCTACCAACCCTGAAGCCATCCCTGACAAGCTAGGCTGCTTTAGACAAGTTACTGAATTTCTCTGGGCCTCAGCATCTTCATGTATAAAATGAGTCCAAGTCTGAGATTGCTGACAGCGCTCCTTAAAACTGGATGCAAAATACTTGGAGTGCCTGCTGTAAAGTACATTCTCAACAAACATCAGCTGCTCCCATTTTTGCCTCTTGAGATTGTGATTGGTGAAGCAGGGTGCTGGGGCCAAGGAAAACACCTGTAACTGGGCATTCCCCCAGCAGTCCGCTTACAGCCTATCTCCTGCTGCCTTGTGTCTTTCCTTTGCTTTAGCTGCTCCTTTGTTTTCCTTCAGGAAACACGATTAGTCGTGGGCAACAGGAAAAGGAGGGAAAATTGGCAGAACAGAACTCAGCTGCCCTTTCTTTGGCACCTTGGTCCGAGTTCCTTTTGAAGAACTCCCTCCAGGCCTCACAGAACCATGGGAAAGGTAGGATTTTCCACATGTTGACAGAGCAGCAGGGCTCCACCCACTGGAAGGGTGGTGGGGGAGAGAGTGTGGGGGCAACCAACACGGAATTGAATCCAGAAACAAGGCTTCCTCTCTGAGGAAGGCTCTGGACAGCCAATGGAATGATGCAAGAGTTCATTCCGAGCAAGAGGGAGCTTCACATTGCTTGACATTAAGAGGGAAAAGCCAACTTTGGAACCAGCTCACTAACCCTGTACCACCGCCAAGTGGAGGCTCCATCTGCCATTACTGTGCCAATCTCGACCATGAGTCACCCATAAGTCACAGAGAAGGAAAACATAATGGGAGGCACCACCACTGGGGCTGTAAGAGATCAGTGTGTACACAACCCTCCAGCACAGGGACCTCATCAGATCCACCTCAGTAGCACCAGAGCGTAGGTCAGGGTATGGTACTAGGAAGTGAATGTTTGATGGAAAGGAGATGAGGGAGAGAAAGGTAGATGGACAGAAAAACCTGGAATGAGCTACTGCCTGACTTAACCACATTACCAAACTTGTAACCACTTCATGGTTAATATTCCCCAAATCATCCTGTTGGACATACGTAGAAGACACCATTGAGGCATGCCCCAAACTCTGCCATCAACAAGTGATGGAGGATGCTGGCCAGAAGCAACGGCACCTTCCAAGTGGAAAGATTTCAGGAAAACAAAAGGAGAGCTGGTCAAGTTTGGCTGTTGCCTCATATATGATACAGACGTATCTTAAGCAAGAACAGATGAAAGGACGTTCAACCTTACTCATAAATAAATGAAAATTTAACCAAAAATGTGCTGTTATTTTTCACCCATCAGATTAAAAAAGGTCAAAGTCTAGGAATACTGTTCTCAGCAAACATCAGCTGCTAATATTTTTGCCTCTAGAGATTGTGATAGGTGAAGCAGGGTGCAGGGGCCAAGGAAAACACCTGTGAGTTAGGCATTCCCCTGAGCTGGACCCACTCGGAGCCTGCCTTCTGTTGCTTTGTGTCTTCCCGTAGCTTCTGTTGCTGGTTTGTTTTCCTCCAGGAAACATGATTAGGGAGAGAGAAGTGGGTGCCCTCTTGCACCACTGGTAGAAATAAATTGCTACCCCCTCTATCTACCAAAATGTTAGACCACAAACCCATTTGCTGCTGGTATTCCACTTCTAAGAATGTTTCCTACTTATATCCTCAAAGAAGTTTACAAAAAGGCAGGCCCAAAGGTGTTCACAGCAGCGTTATTCCTAACAATAATACAGGACTTGGGACAACCCTATGGCCATCAACAAGGAAATGATTTCAGAAATTACACCGCACTCATCCAAGAAAAATCACACATCTTAAGAAGGTCTGGCGTGGAGCTCTGTGTGCTGAAAGGGAACCTCCTGAGACATACTGTTAAATGAAAAAGGCAAGTAAACGCAATTACATGTTATCACAGCACCCTTGTTGTGTCTGCCCAATTCTTATAACCATCCCTCTGCCACAGGATTTGCTTCTTTAGGGTCAATCTTGCTCTTATAACACGGTAAGCTCCACGTGGGCAGGCACCGTGGCGAAGGCGGGACACAGAAGGTACTGAAATATTTGTGAAGGACTGAAGCAGGAGGTCCCAGTGCTCCAAGACACAGACGTCACCTCTGCAGCAAGACCCAAGTGTCCACTATAACATACGCTCCACAAGAACAGAGAGTTTGTCACCACCGAGCCCCAGCACCTAGCACAGCATCTGCACTTTTAAGTCAAATCTGACTTCATGAGGGCCTTGCCCACACCACAAAACATACTCCAACTCCCTCAGATGTTTCAACAAGTACACCGAAACCTGTGAGAGCTGGAGCTCGATGGGGCTGCCCTGTTTCTCTGAGTCTCACAAGTTTTCTGTCTTTGACAAGGTACAGTCTTACCACTTTTCTATCGCCCGTTTTGGTGGAAAATATTTGAGTCTTCTTTCTCTGACAAGTTTCTGCCTTACACAGGTTCTGACTTTCACAGGTTTTACTGTAAGTAAAAATCTGAGTCCAAAATAATTAAAAGAAAATTGCAAGAAATGTGAACGAATCTTACCTGTTTCTCCTGGTTTGATCCACAGAATAAATCTGCTTTCTCAGCCAACTGGGAAGAGAGTAGAGACCAAAAATAAAGAAAGTTCAGAAACAGCACTAGTCTAAACAAATTCTATGGGACAGGGACAAGGAAACTGGAGAGAAAAGGAAAGTTCTCCAACTTTCTCACAAGGACAGCTTGGGAAGCTGTTTTCTCCTTGTGGCTGGAAGCCCCTAGCTGAGCTGAGAGGGCCCCTTTTAACTTGAAGAGGCCAGCATTCTTAAAGTTGGTGACTCTTTCTGATGATATTCGTTAACCCCACCCCACCCCCACTCCGAAAAGAATATTGGTGCAAACTGGAGGGCTTTGATTTACTGGGGAAAAAAGTAATTCACCCACAAGGACCATCCAGACATCCATAACACTGAAGAAACAGTTCTGCAAGAAGGCCTTGATCAGTACATGATGGAGTGACAGAAAAATCCAGACCTCCGTGTCTGACTGTCCTTGGACGCACTGGCTTAATCCCTTATGAAATCTTTAAGAAGGAAGCCCTCCCATTTCCCACTCAAACACCCACCAATGGAGTCTTCTGTCTCAGCTTCAATGCCCTGCTCACCCCAAAAAGGCAATGCTAAGTCTCAGCCAAGAGAAAGGCTCTTACTTGAAAATGTAGAGTCCACAGCCACTACTAAGCACCAACTGTATAGAGGGCACTCAATGAGGCTGAAGGATGAAATGCCCCATTTTTCGTTCCTTAGCCCATGCTGGCTAAAGGGAGCAGAATAAATATATGAATAAGCAAATACGTTGATAACCACCCAAAGCCAAGTACCTCTCAATAATTGTGGGTGTGGAGGCATTCCTCGCTTCTTGGTGTAAGATTTTCAAGCCAGAAAGCCACTTAACTGCATCCTCCTTAGAGTCAGCTGGAGAGGTGAGTGGAAACAGAGACGCTGGGTTAGCCCTGGGCAGAGCTCACTTAGAGACCCCTGTGCCCTGGCCTTCCCGAGCCCCATGCAGCCCGTGGCGATGGGAGAAGTCTGTGCTGGTTTGTACTTTTTTAGGAGGGCACCAAAGAAGGCATCACCTTCATGCCTGCAAGGCTCTTCACCAGGAACCAGTTGCTGTCGACTTCCCTCTGATTCGTGGTGACCCCATGTATGTCAGAGTACAACTGTGCTCCACACAGGGTTTTCAATGGCTGATTTTTCAGAAGCAGATTACCAGGCCTTTCTTCCAAGGTACCTCTGGGTAGATTCAAACTGCCAACCTTTCATGTTAACCGTTGGCACCACCCAGGGTCTCCTCATGGCTCTTAAGAACCTGCTTTGGTCTGAGATGAGACCACATAATCCTGACAAATTTCTATGGAAGAAGTGACATATGGGCTTACTTCCTGTGCCAAAGTAAATCAACTAGGAGTGGTGGTGGTAATAATTACCATCATCATCATAGTTGTTATTATTATAGAATAGCAGCTAACATATTTTGAGCACTTAATATACACTAGACACTGTTCTAAGTGCTCTTTCTATATCAGTTGTGTAATCCTGACAACGAGCCCATGAGAGAGGTACTAGCATTATCCCCATTTAACACGTGGGGAACCAAGCCTCAGACAAGTTAAGGGACATGTTCAAAGGTCACACAGCCCATAAGTGGCAGACACAGGATTTCAGATCAGAGTCTGTTCTCTTAACCACTGTGCACACTGACTTCGTGAATGAAACAGGTGAGGAACTGGAACCCAGCATCTGACACAGGGGTTTTCAAGTCCCCCTCCCCCTGCTTAGAAGAATGGCCTGGGGGACTTTTTAAACCCCCACACCTAGGTTCCACCCAGAGTAATTAAATCAGAATCCCTGAAATGGGGAGAAACATCAACAGGTCTGAACTCCCCCAAGTGGTGCCAGTGGGCAGCCAAGGTGGGTGAATGAGTTTCCACTTGTGGCTGTAACAAATGAATGCAAGGTCAGTGGTTTAAAGTAACACAAATATATTCTCGTACAGTTCTGAAGGTCAGATGTCTAAAATGGGTCGGCAGGGCTGTGTTCCTTCTAAGGCTCTAGGGAAGAACCTGTTTCCTTCCCTTTTCCACTTCTAGAAGCTGCCCTCTTCCTTGGCTCATGGCCCCACATCACTCTGGTCACAGCTCCTCCTCTGAGTCTGACTCTCTTGCCTCCCTCTTATAAGGACTCTTGTGACTACAGTGGACCCACCTGGATAATCCAGGACAACCTCCCACCTCAAATCCTTAACTTCATCACATCTGCAAAGTCCCTTTGGCTATGTCAGGTAACAAAGTCACAGTTTCCAGGGATTAGAACGTGGCCATCACAGGTTGGGGATATGGGATTATTCTGCTTACCACAGTTGAGAACCATGAATTCAGAGCTTTTCTTCCTTTTTTTTAAAGAGTTTTAGTTTTTAGCCCTGGGCTGCGGATGTGAGGCAAAACCTGAGATCATCTGCACCCCGATCCTAAGCAATCAGGATCTCCCCTGCTTCCAACCAAGGCAGGAAGGCCTGCTCTGCTGGAGAGAGGGGTCCAACAACAGACAGTGGGTAAGAGCTTGGCATCTGGCAAAAGAAGGGCCATCGCTCAAATCCCACAGCACCACTTCCTGGCTGTGTGACTTTCAGCAGGTTACTTAACCCCTCTGTGCCTCCATTTCCTGATCACTGTACTGGAGTTAGCAATGCACACACCTAGTAAAGTTATTAGACATCTAAACATCAGGTACCATGCTGGTCCTCACAACAACACTCTGAGGTTGGTGCTCCTGTTCTCCCAATATGGATGAGGGGGAAACTGAGGCTCAGAAGGATAAAGAGATTTGTCTCAGAGCCAGCAACTGGCAGAGCTGGGATCTGAATCTAGGTCTTGCCCATCTCTAGGACTCCAGCTCCTCAAAGAAGAACCCCACAGTGGGACACACACCACAGCTGGCACTCTGGGCTCCAAGCTTGGGCTCTCCAGTTTCCTTCCCAAGAACAGCGGCCAGGGCTCAGCCTGCAGGTGGGATCACTGGCCTCTCTCTGCCCTGCCCTGTCTCCACAACCCCCTATCTACACACCATGCAACAAACATGTACTCACCATTTCCCACCCCCAGCTTGCTATTTCCCTCCTCTGTGACCTTACACATGCCAAGCCCCCTGCCTGGACCGCCCTCCCTCCTTCCTTCCAACTCCTACAGACGCCTCAAAACCCAGTTTAAAAGTCACCTCCTCTGCAAAGGCTTCCCTGGAATAAGGCAGTCCGTTGTATCACGCTTGGAGTACAACCTTGTCAGAGAGCACTGTGATCTCTTGCCCACTCGTCTCTCTCCCCCAGTGGACTGAGAGCTCCTTAAAGGCAGAAACTGAGTCTTAGTCACTGTCACAGCCACACTGACACCTGGTATAACCTAGCACACAGCAGGTGCTCAAAACATGCTTGATGACAGAATGAATGAGAAATTAGATAAATGGGAGCTATCTGACCGTAAACTAAATGTTCCCACACCGGTAAACTTTGATCCTTTTTGCCCCTGGTAGCACAGTGGTTAAGAGCTACGGCTGCTAACCAAAAGGTCAGCAGTTCAAATCTACTAGCCACTCCTTGGAAATCCTACGAGGCAGTTCTACTCTGCCCTATAGGGTCGCTATGAATCAAAGTCGACTCTACCACAATGAGTTTGGTTTGGTTTTTGGTTTATTAGTCTACTTTTAATACCATTTATTTTCTCTCTCATCAATTATGATTGTATGTATGCTTTTAAGCAATAAATCCTAAGACTGGATCTGAAGATAGCTGCAAGCTTCTGCCCCTGAGTAAAGGGCTTGTGCTTTTTCACACTTGTTCAAAGCTTTCTGAGACCTCTTTTGCTTCTTGGTGGATTCTCCAGGATGGCCGGAACTCTCACTTCCAGATACACGTGTGTGTGTGTGTGTGTGTGTGTGTGTGTGTGTGTGTGTGTGTGTGTGTGGGCATGTGCACAGGTGTCTGCATGTGTATAAGTGTGCATGCACGTATGTGCGCACGAGTGTGTGTGTGCGTGTGTATGTGTGTACTGATGCGGGGGTAGTGTACGTGCATACGCATATGCATTTGTGCATGTGTGTGTGATATGAGATTTCAGGACAGTTCCTTTGAATCAGTGGCAAGTTTGCTGTGTAACATCTGCTGGAGGAAGAAGGGCTACACTGTTCCTCCAACACAGCCTGCCTACAGTAATGACACCATCTAACCACCATTTGTGACACTTAATGTGTGTGCTTCCCAACATCCCGATGAGACAGGTATTATTCTCCACCCCATTTTACAGCTGAGGAAACTGCAGTTCAGAGGTTAAGTGCCTCACCCAAAGGCACACAGCTAGAAAGTGGCAGGGCTGGGATTTAAAGCCATGACGCCCCAAATGCGAGTTAGTGAGGAGGCAGGTCGGGTAGGAGCATCCTGATTTGAGAGGACTTTCTAGGAAGGAAACCAAGATACAGGGCAGGGAAAAAAGCACAAGACTCATGCACCCACCTGCTAAACTGAGTGTGCTGAGGACGAACTGGGTGCCATAGAAAATGGTAAAGCAGCAGTCTTCTTTCTGGCGGACTGTTTTTGCACGCTCGAAGTCCTTGGAGCTTTTCCCTGGGCGGATCTCCTTTATGTCCATGATATCCACTAAAAGGAAAACACAATCGACCAATTAGAAGCCAGCCTTCACTCCACCTGAGAATGCGGCCATTCACCTGCACCCCAGACACAGCCCAGCTCCTTCATGTCCCTGAAGGGACCCACGAGACCACCTCCACATCTGGCTCCCCATCCAAGCCCAGGGCCCGCTCCTGCTGGAAGTGGACGAAAGCCACAGAGCCTGCCCAGGTATCTGCCACCACCCCACAAGCTACTGGGGTATAAAGGGTTTGAGGTTTCCCCTGTCCGCTTCCTAAGACTGACACATTCTAAACTAGGACAACTGGCCTTTTGTAATAATGCAACTCGGACTTAAGCAAAGAGACAGAGACTATTCTACCAGATCAAGAGACAGAAAGGAGGCTCTGTGGTGATCACCAACTCTGGGCAGTGTGAAAGCTCCAACTGTCCTATAAAAGCTGGACCTTGATGATCTTCTCCCTTGAGTTCCAAAGACTACAAATACCCTCTGGCTCAGTTCAAGGAGCCAGGGGCTGGGGAGGAAGGCACTGAATAACCACTAAAAATAAAAGTACAGGGCCCAGGGTAGGGATGGTCACTAGGATTTGGGGGACCACACTGCCTATCAGGAAAGAATGGAGAGTGTGGAAGACTGTTACTTTGGTGGCCCCAATGGACAACACTTCCCGGTGTTTACGTCCTATGCAGCCAGCTGCCCTTGAATGTGGACTATCTCTGTGATCTGCTTTACTAACAGAATGTTCTAGTCTGGACCTGACCATTAAGAAGACCTGGCATAGAAGACAGAGTGCAAAGAGAAGATGGAATGAACTAAAAGCTTTCTGTCTTTTTATCATGGATCTAGCTAGCTTGAATACAGTTTTGGGGATGACAGTCATGAAGCAATGTGAAAAGACTTTTAAACAGTGTTTGTTCTGTATCCTGTATGTGGTGGTAGTTATACAAATTTATACATGTGATAAAATTTTATAGAACTATACACTATTTTATAAAACAAAACAATGAGCATATATAAAAGACAGTAAAAACCAATTAAGTTCTATAGTTTAATTAACAGTAGTGCACCAATGTCAGTGTCCTGGTGGTTCGGATAACTGCACCATGGTTATGAAAGATGTTATCACTGGGGGAAGCTGGATGAATGGCACACAGAAACTCTGTACTGCTTTTGCAACATCTATTGCACTTGACTACTAACCTAAAAGTTGGCGGTTTGAACCCACCCAGCAGCGCCGCAGATAAAAGGCCTGGTGATCTGCTTCCGTAAAGAGTACAGCCAAGAAAATGCTATGGGGCAGTTCTACTCTATAACACAGGGGGTCACCATGAGGTGGAATCCACTCAACCGCAGTGGGTTTGGTTTTTTGGTTTTACATAAGTCTAAATTTATTTCAAAATAAAACATTAAAAAAAATCAGTTGACAGTTATGGGTGACTCTATTACTGGTGTGGTCGGAAAGAGGATGCATCTCTAAACTGCTGCACATTTCCCTGTCTCCATTTTTCCCTGGGAGCCTTCCTCACCTCCTCTCTTTATCTTCACTCCAAATTCAACTCTCTTCCTCCAAAGAAAAGAGAGAGAAAGAAAAACCATGGGGCCATGGGGTGGGGCGGGGGCAGTGGGGGGGGGGGGCAGTCCCTTTATGTGCAACTAAAATTCACAACCTTCTGGGAGGAAATCAGCATTGCTGATTTAACAACTTTAGCAATTACCCAAAAACTTTCATGGTACTAAGATTTGTTCTCAAAAATTAGCTATTCGCCCACCCAGGTGACTGTCAGTCAAGAGTCTAGTGGCTTTAACAAACATTCTTTTCTTTTTCTAACCAGTCTGACAATGAGTATCTAACTATTTTCTTTTCCCATAAAATATCTTGGAAAGTGAATCTTTGAATTGGTTTACTGCGGGCTTTTTTTTTCCCTTGCAGCCAAATTCTAATAAAAATATGGCACATGTACATAACTAAAGAAAAATCTTCACAAAATGTAACATTACCTTCAGGCAACCACCAAGTCTTAGCAATTCTACTTTCTAAATTGCTCTTGAACCTGCCAACTTCATCCCCCATGGCCAATGCTTAATCCAAACTACCATTATCTCTTGCTTTGGTCTACTACAATGGCCTCCTGACAGCAACACTTGTCCCCAGAGTCATCCTTATGAAATGCAAATATGCTTCTGCCACTCCTTGGCTTCAAGCCTCCCAGTGGCATCTCACTGGTGTTAGGACTAAGAATCAAGGCCCTGGGTGCTCTGACCCACTGACCCACCAGGCTCAACCGTGAACCCTCACTCTCCAGGCCCCAGCCACACTGGCCCTCGCCCAGACTGTGAGTGGGTCATACTCCCCTACCACAGGACATTAGCATATGCTGTTGGCTTTGCCAGGTGTGCTCTCAGCCTGGTCAGCTCAATCACCATCAACCCCTTAGGAAACATTCCTTCCTGCTATCATGCATACCAAGCATGTCTCCTCCATAGCACTCAACAGACCGAGTGTTATAGAGTGAATCTGTGGCTTACTAGCTCTCTTTCCCCTAGACTGTAAGCTTCATGGGGACAGGAATCATGCTCTTTCCTCACCACTTTGTCCCCACACCTGGAAGAGTGTATGCTACATAGTGGGGCTCAACAAATAGTTGCTGAAAGAAGACAGAGACAGGGAGAGATGGAGACACAGACAGGGACAGAACTGGAGATGGGATAGAGCCGGGGACAGAGAGGAAGAGAGGGAGGCAGAGACACACAGATGTGATCAGAGACACACAGAGACACTTAACAGGGTAAAAGAGAGACAGGGACACCCAGACACAAATAAAGACAGCCAAGCCACCCAGACAAGGAGGGAGAGAAACACACACACACATACACACAGCTGGCCCCTGCCCACATCAGATCTCACTTAAATGACTTCTCCTCAACACAGCCTTCTTTATTCACCTCTCTCCATTGATCCACCCTATTATTTTCATATCTGCACCTTATAAAGTTCCTTGCTAACACTAATCGCTATTTGTAATTTTATGTTTGTTTTCTTGTATACGTGTCCATCTGGCTTACAACTGCAGTCTCACCACTGCCTACATCAGAGCCAGGCTCAGGGCAGAAACTCAAATATCCACAGAATAAGGAATTCGGTTTCTCAGGTGTCTTGGTTTGGGTTACCCCCAGAAGTAGACCCTGAGACAAGAATTTTGAGTGCAAGTAGTTTATCTGGGTGATGATCCCAGGAAACACCAGCAGGGGGAGTGGGAAAGCGAGACATGGAAGGGAAGAAGCCAATAAAGGGATTGTTATCAAGCCGGTTACCCCCATGGGCAACTGGAGAGTAATCCTGTTGGGGGACTCCTGGAGACAGTGTAAAGCATGGCTCAGAGCTGTCCCCACTGATGGGTGAGGGAGCTTGGGTCTTTATCCACTTCTGAGGCATTCATCTCCAGCCCTCAGGCAGAGGCTCGCAGGTGTTCACACCAAAGCTACAGCCATCAGGGTCAGCCAGCGGCAGCCTCTGCTACATCAGGTTACTGGTCCTGTAATGCCTGTGCTACCCACACAGGGACACAGGGATCAGAACGTTGGAAGGATGAACATCCCTGTATTCTATCTAGTTCGAGCAGAACACAATGGGATTTGGACAAGTCCTGGCTGCTGAAGAGAATATCTTCTCTGGGCTCCTCAGCGGAGAGCTGCTACATGGAGATGGGACCATGTATTACTGCCCCGTACATTCTGTACTCCCAAAGGTGTCTCCGGTCAGAGGTGGTTCTGGAACTGCGGCTATCAGTTCTCTGATATAACAGCTTTTTTTGAGATATAGTCCATATATAGCACATAATTCAACCACAATTCAATGGTTTTTGGCATATTCACCTATATGTGCCACACACCACCACAGTCAATTTTAGAACTTTCTCATCATCTCAAAGAGAAATGCTGCATTCTTTAGGTACCCCTCCCCTATCCCCTAATCGTGTTCATCCCAAACCCTAAGCAACCACTAATCTACTTTCTGAAATAGATTTGCCTGTTCTGGACACTTCATATAAACAGAATCATATAATATGTGGGTTTTTTTTATGTCCAGCTTCTTTCACTCGGCATAATGTTTTCAAGGTTCATCCATGCTGTGGCATGTATCAGGACTTCATTCCTTTTTATGGCTGAATAACATTCCATGGTATGGATGTACCACACTTTGTTTATCCATTTGTCCGCTGATGGACATACGGGTTGTTTCCACCTTTTGGATATGGTGAATAATGCTGATACGAACATTGTGTACAAGTTTTCGGGAATATACCTATGAGTAGAAATCAGTCCTCTCTCGAGAACACCCTCAGAGCTGCAGGGATAATGCCCTCGTCATGCCATGGAGCTGCCTGGCCTTCCATCCAGGCCAGGGATGGAGCCCAGAGGTGGAAATGTCACCTCTGTTCACTGAGTCCTGTGGCTGGGACCTCATCCTTGAGAAGGTTGTGGAGCTGTCACCAAGCCCTTCACAGCCGTCACTATCACTTCCCAGGCCCTTCCAGTGAGCAAACTCCAGAGGCCACCAGGGGGCTGCCCACTGCTGGGACACCCCCTTGGTTACCAGGAGTCCCAAAAAGGCAGGAAGGAAGTCCCTCTCTACCAGTGGTGGCTTGCTATTTGGTAATCAGCAAAGCTGGGGGGCCCACTGGGCATTTCTGTTGAAGTGCTCAGCACTTGATCTTGCATCACATGGGGGCACCTTGCTGAGTGATGATTCCTCTACCAGCCGGGGTGTGGGGGATGAGGACAGAGTGAGGCCCACTGCACTCAACCAAGAGAATTCAAAACCACCTTTCTGACCTGGGGCTTGGAATAAAATTCTAGAGCTGGGGTCGCAAACTCAAATGTTCACAAGGGCCATCAAAGTCATGAGAATCAGTATAGCGTGGGGATCAAAGAAAGCACTCTGGAGCCAGACTGCCTGGGTTTGAGTCCCAGCCCTCCCACTACAGCAGGGGGCTTTGGGCAGCAATTT